AGTTGGGATGGTTTCCTTGAACCTTAGACTCTGAAATACCTTTCGGGGAAACCTTTCCTCGACAGCTAAACTAAGCTGCTGTTCAGCAGTACTACCCACTTCAACAGCGGGCAGACATTTTCTGGTCTTGATTTCTAAATGCTATTCCACCTCCTCTCTAAATTTCCTTTTTTGATGTTACATAGGTTATTTGCATAAAATTGAGGAACTAAGCCAAATACTTCTCTTACCACTTCAAAGCTACTGACCTCCAAGAAGCTGGACTGGTGTAAATGAGGGAAGAATCTGACGCAACAGGGTAGTTCAGTGTAATTATATATCCACTGTCCAATACCACCAGAAACCTGCTGTTGTGTCTGGCCAAGCCCAAGGTAAGCTTGGACTCAGCACCATGCTAACACTGTCAGACATCTGGATCACAGTTGATTCACGCCCTGCTGGCTAGAAACATAGCCAGGACTTGCTTTCATCTGTCTACAACAGACTTCAAGAGATATTTCCTAAAAATGGAGTTTAGACAAGATTTTAATCGAAAAAAAATCACACTACATTTCTTACATTGCATCCAAGCTGTAGGGAATCCTACTTACTCTTTGATCTATGATATTACCAAAGGTTGTAATCAAGCTGGAAGGTAAAGTAAATGGAGAAAACGTGTGATTTACAGAACAAAACTGTCCCTTTTAGGTGGTGTACATCAGGAGAACCCCTCTGTGCCATAATCAGGAGAATAGCAAGTGGCTGGTACAGTTGTGTTTCTCCACATTCTGTAAAACAAGTCATCCTGGTTGATGTCTCAACGTCATCACATGCAACATCCTGAGTTTTTTAAACAGGAGAGGTTACTTGGACTATCTCTCACTCTAGTAAATGCCCAGATCAGTCTACTGTAGGTAAGCTGAGTCATGTGGGCTGAGTCTGAAATGCTGAGTACTTCAGGTGTATTTCCTCAAAGAAAGTAAATTGAACACTAAATTTCTTTAGCCATGCAACAATGACAGGATTTCACATGACTGTACCATTTGGGTTTACAGCATTCCTTGGACTGCATTACTCTGTACCCCCAACAATCAGATGTTAATTCTGATCTGCAAGCATAGTCAGATTGATCTTAATTAATCTGATTCATACTATATTAATGCTCAATTCATCAATGTGTTTCAATATGCATAATCATACTAATAATAGATCTGGACTTAGATTTTAAATAGATCTGACTTTATGATACAGACTGCATGGCAGAAGACCGAATGTGAATACTGGACCCAATGAGACAGCCTTGAGAAAAATTAAAAAAACAGATTTTGAAATCACATGTTCAGGAATAGCAGGATTGAGGATAAGGATATTACTGATTCACATTCTGATACAGCATCTGCATATATTTTAAATTAAATTGAGATAAGACAACTTCTGTGAATGAGAAAATGGATCAAGCCGACAAGGTTTGGTTCTACGTAATTTTTTTAAAGTTACAATACATATTGTTGACTCCAAAATCTTCTTGTGGACTGAGAGCCTGGAAATCCCGTATCATGTTCAATATGGTTCCACTGCCCACTTGCATCTGAGATTGCTTGGATTGATCTCTGAAGCTTTGTGTCAGAGACATTTTTGGCCAATAGTTATTCACCACAGCTCCAGATCAGATAAGAGTCTAGCTCTTGACATCACTGTATGTGTGTGCTTGAATGTGTTTGAAATTTCATAAATAAACTTCAGCTAGGACAAACATATATTCTTTGACAGTTAATAGATGTTAAATTGCTGCAGCCTGCTGTTTTGATGTTAGTTTGATGGTTGTTTCCAACAAATAGACTAACCTATTAATTAACTGCAAATAAATTATTTTACTTTTCCATAGCTTCTTTGTATTCTATCAGGCTCTCTATATCCTGTTATTTCAGGATGTGGTCTTGATGTACCATAGCATAATATAATTCATAGTGACACTATCAGATGTACTACAGCAAAATATGAATCTGGGGAAAGGAGAGTTCACACTATGATGACATGTAATTATTTCAGATAGCAAACTGCTGCAGGCAAAGTCTGATATACTTCCATCAACCATAAGCTGGCATACCCTACCCTTCTTGAGGGAAGACATGCAGTCTAGTGGCTGGAGAAGTGGACTAACTTTGGTTTTCAGCTCTCTACTTACAGTGACCTCATGCAACATTTTTGCATTCACTCTGATAACTGTGAACAACTGACAGAGAATTATTAAGCTATCCTTTCAGGGAGCATTAGTAGTCTTGACTCATTAATATCAATATTGCCCATAAGGTTTTGGAATATCACAATCTATTTAAGGAACACGTGAACATAACCACAATAGGAATGTGAGGGAACAGAAGGAGTAGCATTGCTCCACAAAGAAGGATGAGCTAGAAGCTGATCTTGGCACAGGTTGTGCTCTCATCCGCACCTCTTGCTGCTCATAATGACAAACTGTACTGAAGTCTCAGAGTTAGGTATGTTCTTTGTCAAGCTGAATTTCTACCTGTTGTCAGCTGATGGCTATTTGTTCTCCGGACAAAAACTGCTTTTGCTTGAAATGTCTCTTTTTGAGATCTCTGTTGTTCCCACCACTGGCTTGCTTTGTGTTTTGTTGTGTTTTGAGTGGTTTTGTTTGTTTGTTTTAATTGAGACCAATGGTATCAGTTCTTTCTTATTGCTACTCAAAATACCTTATCTGCTATATGGCATTTGCTCATTTTACATCCACATCACAAGTTACACCTACTTAGCCTGTGATTGACTGCTACACATTATTCAGTTATCTGTCCTTTTCAGTAGATGCAAACACAGTTTATAATGGAAATTGTTGTGATTATTCACTAAGTACATGACCTTGCACCTCATATAGTTACACACATCCATTTCTATTAGCTCACGCATCAAAACTCTTCATTGCCTTCCACGTTCTGATCCTCTGCTGTATTGATGATGCCTCTCAGCTTTGTGTCAACAGCTAATTTAATTTACATGTTCTTCCTGTTTATGTAAAAGTCACTAATGAAAAATTTGGCAACGTGTGTCAAGAGCAATCCTTGATGTTTTGTATTAGTACCCTCTTCTCACAGGGTCAGTTGATAAATTCACAGAGGAATTGAGGTTAGAGGACACTTCTAGAGGTCCATTAGTCCCTTGTTCAAAGCAGCACTGATATTAAAGTTGAATCAATTTGCTCAGCCCACTAAATCCCTTTTCAAGATATCCATAGTTGTTTCATCTTTGTCTAATTTCTTGTGGATCCTGAAACTTTTGAAGTTCCTTTTTTTTTTTTTACTCTCTTTTTCTATATTAAAACCAATCCTCATTTGGCAGTATATTTAGATGTTTACTGAAATACAACAATCATAGCTCTGTGCTGCTTCATTTCTCTGGAGATGAAGTATTTTTATTTACTTCCATTTATGCTACTAATTCTGACTACCTAAAGTATGGCTGCTCTGGCCTACCAGGGATATGGAAGTTTCTTTCATATTCCCATTTTCTTTATGAGAATTCTCTATGAGAATTCATTATATGGAAAGGATGAACCTTTCAGATCTCAGACTCCTCTAATTTATTCCCTCAATCAAATCATACGACATAGAATTTTAATTTGTATTTCTATCTTAATTATTATTCCTTCTCCTTTCTATAAATGCTACAGTCATACAATCTGTTCTTAAATGAAATTGCCTGTTGTCACATAGGAGACCAGGTTTCCCATTCTTGAGATTCTTTGTAAGTCAGCTGGAACTTACTAGGAACTTAACACCCACATACAACAGTCTTATCCAAATACATCATTTCTCAAACTTCCCTGAAACTTGATGTTTTGGCAGAATATCAGGTACCTATTTCAACAATACAGGATCATTTGGGTGAATATATCCACACTGGGGAAAAAAAAAAAAGGAAAAGGAAAAAAAAGAGTCTTTATGATCATTATCCACCAATAGAGTCAATGGGTAATGAGGCTTCTAGTTTGGACTGTACTTCCTGAAACATTTGCCAGTGCATCAGGCCAGTTCTTCCACTAGTGTGAACCACCACAATTTATGCCTATCAGCAACCAAACAAAGGTGCCACTAAATGTGGACAAAACTATAATTGCTGTGCATGGTTAGTAAGGGTTCAGACAGCTTAAAAGAACAGCAGTGAGACCAGAAGGCTTTTATCTTTATGTCACTGATGCAACTAAATGTAGAATAGATCGGTAATGATCAAAGTCTTCTGAACGTGCCTCATAACAAACTGGGGGTGCAAGCTGCACTGTTTTGCTCAAAGATACGAAGGTAAAGCTACAGTGGCAGAACCTGGTCAGATTTAATTCTACTTAGTGACATCAGGAGAAGGGTTTTATAAGATAAAGATCATAAACTACGTGCAAAGTAGTAATAATAGTATATATTAAATGGAATGAGAACATGGCTTTCTCCTCTTAGATGTGTATCCCAAATTTTTAAGAAATGTGGGTTTGAACTTGACATCAAATGCAGATTTTACAGATCATTCATGAAAATCACATTTGCTAATATAATCCCTATTGATGCTAACGTTCTGCTTTTTGGGGTCTGATGCAAGCCTTTTGGATTTCCATTTTTCTGACAGCTCCACAATGAATCACAATCCCTTGGAGCCACTAGAGCCAGCAGTGGTGGTTGATGCCCAAATCCCACTGCAGTATAAATTTAGAAGGAGCTGAGAACTGAGAGAAACAGGAATTTTGACTCTGCCATAGGGCTGGGGCAGAGCAGAAATATCTCCCAGCACAGCGGTAGGAGGTAAGCTCGTTCCTACTTGCTAAATCATGCTTTCTTAATGCCAAAACAAGGGAGGCAGGCAAAGTACTATAGCAATAGAAACTAATGGAAAAAACTACTGCAAAAGTGATAAAAGTTACCGGAAACTGGTTGCAATCACAGACATGGAAGCAGTGGACTGTTGGTTCAGACACTATTTTTGATTAAATATTAAGCACCCTGGAAATAGAATTAACTTACTGCTTTCTGCAGGTACAGCTAGTACACAGCTAGAGACACCCATGCACAAGCAGACACAAAATGGGATCCGTGAATCCATCTAGCCACCAGGCAGAAGTGAAAGATCATTTGAACACTGGGACTTGGGGTAAGCAAACAGGTACAACGTCAAACTCTGTCAAACATTTCTTCAATGGATGTTTTGTTCTAAATCAAACTGCCAACTAATAAGGTAAACACAATATAGTTCAGTTAGGAAGTAGGTTAAAGCAGCTGTTCGTTTACTTTCTCTGTGTCAGGAGCAGGAACTCAGTGAGTTCCTTGAACTCGGCATTCTCTTTCAGCTTTATATACAAGCCTTCACAATCTCCTGCTACATTTATTTTTTTTCCCTTCATACTGCAGGCAATAACTATGAAACTCTTTAATTTAACAGTATGTTCTTTGTCCTGCAATTGTTCCTGTTTTGCAACCCCATAGATTATATGTACAGGCCTGTAGGAATAGTCAAACAGTTAATAAGGGTAGGGTTTGGCACACTGCACTATGTAGAAATTCTACAATCAAGTCCTGACAGGAAAGCTCTGTATCTCCTGTGGTTCCCAGTCCTGACTAAAGTATGCAAAATATCACTACTGGGACTGATACTTATTTCCCAGAAAGCTGTAATACCAGTTTTTTCTTATCAATGCATCATTGAAAGGTATTTTGTTTATAGTTTACACCATTTATTTTCCCAGGCATATTAGGTTTTCAAAAGTGATCCATGGTTCATTGTGTCTGTCAAAGGTTCAGAGGTGCTATTTCAAATTTCATTACACCCTAATACAGCATGTATATGAAAGAACAAAAGAAAGACTTGTACCAAATGACTGTATTAATCCCTGAGGTTTAATATCCATCTGCATGATTCCTTGGATCTTATGGTTCTGTCACAAGCCCCTTTACTTGAGGGAAGTGTACATCCTCCAAGCAGGCAGAAATGCATGGTGCAACAAGCACCACAGACTACCACGGGGGTACCACAGTCAGGATGAGCAGAGCAAGGGTTTGCTCTGCAGAGCAACTGCACAAACTCAAATGCTGATCCTGCTAATGAGAGGAGAACAAGAGTGAAATCTACCATGCTCTTAGAGAGGTATGCCAAGAGCAGCAGGAATACAGGGAGGGGAACACAGTAAACAAAAACCACTTTATTTGTCTCTAATAAAGTAAACAGTCATCAATGTAAACACATACGGAGCCAGATTTGGAAGGTAAGGAAGTAATATCTTTGCCTAATTCTTTTTAGGGAAGAAAGATATTTAAAACCCTTTATGTGGGCTTGGGCCTTGAACTTGGAAACTTGCTGAAGCAGAATCTGAAGACAAAATTTAAATGTGAATTTTCTTCTCTTTAAAAATTGCCTTTTAAAGGTAGAAACTCAAAAGACTTGAAATTCTTACTCTTACCTCAGAGGACTTCAAAAAAAATAGTTACTTACTTAAACCACTGGAATGTACAGGAGCAAGTTTTCTCATGAGGTTCACAGTCAGCTCCAAACCAGAAAGTAAGAAAATGCAGTCAAATATTTTAGATGTCTACAAGGCAGAGATTTAAGTTTTAAAGAAATGTGAGAAATTTATTGTTTGGCTATGCTGTTGCTCTTATTTCAGATGGGAACCCAGTTCCAAATTCAGTGAGGTCAGATCCCATGGTCCCATCTGTCAAGGTCCATCCGATCTGTTAATCAGAGTGAAAGTGGCCTTTCAAAGGGGAAAAGTACTTTCCTGTGATACAGTGGCCTCTAATCCTGATCAAGCTTAGAGAAACACTCTCACTGTTTTACTCCACTAGCATTCAGCTAGCTTTGAAGCTCATTACTTTCCCTGGACAGTTGTCCATGTATATAGGACCATCCACCCTGAAAATGATATGCATCAAGAAACACAGAATAATTCATTCTTCATTCTGCTTTCAAAAAGCTCTCTGAACTAAACACTCTAAGGAGAAGCAGTGAGAAAAGAGGAGCAGCCTAGGGAAAACAGAAAAAAAAAGCCTAACACAAAGGTTGAAATAGGTGGGAGCAAGAGAGAGACACCTCGCCATATGGCTACAGAACCATCATAAATGATGGTGAAATGCTGGTCTGCAGTCCAGCCAAGTAGAAGGATCAAAGCTCTCATCTTTATAGGAACCATTGGAGAGGCAAGCTCTCCCACTTTCCTTTTGCTTTAGAGAACAGTCCTGCTCACCATAAAAATCTTCTTCAGGAGCTTACCGATTCACCACAGCCTTGGCAGTTTTGCCACTGGAGGGATGAAAAGGACAATTCAGGGTGTTCTGTGTGCTGTATTCAGCAGGTCCTCTGTCCTCAGAAATGCAAGAGGGTGGACAGCAGTAACCAACTCAGTTCTCTCCCTATGATTTGAGTGTTTGTGTCAGGTATAGGACTTGCACATATGCCATGTAGCTCCCAAACCTTTGCCACCTGTGGGGAAAGTCTCCACCCCTGTGCTAGGCCCTTTCCCCTTTGAGCTTGGCAAAGGACATGTATTTCTCTTATAACGAGTTTCTGAGAACACAGAAAAGCAGCCATCTATGTGCAATGTCGTATCTCCCAACTTTCCTAGCCCTGCTGGCTAATTAAACCTGCTTCACTCCTATGCCCCAAGTAGTCTAGGGTCATTAAGCCAGAGCTAGCTGCTGCTCTTGTCAAAAATGCATTCCTTCACACCAGGGGACATAGACAGTAGCAGAAAGTTACACCTCCTGGCTAATACAGTGTTTTAATCAGTATGGACTATTGTTCTGGCTCAGTGGTGTTTAAAGAGTTAGTTTTCCTCTCACTAAACCTTGTTTTCATCGGCATAAATCTGTTACACAAATAAGCATATTTGCCCAAAACACCACAAGAGACAAATAGATATTTTTATTTTCTGTTCTTTTAAACTCGCATCCATCACTAGATCTGAGCAATCCCTGAAGAACTGGTACTTTCCCCACTCTGCACAAGGATTGTGTAATACTCAGAATCGGGAATAGCACAAAATCATCCATGATGCCTTTAAAAGCAGTGTCTCTAGGGTATTTATATACATTTACTTCGGTCACTCAAAGGTCCCAGTCATAGGAAGTATGCAGGCACTACCCTTAGTGATTTCCGTCAAATCAAAAGGAACTCACCAAATTACAGATATAAACAATAAACCTTATCTGTTTATATCATTTGGCTGTTTTCCAAGTGCTTAGACTTAATATTCCCAACAGTTACGAACATTGTAATCTGTGAAGTGCCATGGACATTTATGGTGCTATATAAATGCATATTATTAATTAATAACTACCATACTTAATGCCAGCATTTTAAACATTTACATGAGCGGCCTCATGAACAACTGCACATGTCGCTTTCCCCAAGCTCCTAGTACAATCAGCAGCACCAGTAAACCACAGCCAAAGACCTCTTTGGACATGACACAGTTTGGGGGGCAGCTTTCCCTCTCCCCACATCTCTCCCTAACCTGTACTCCTTCAACTATCAATCTTTGAGTCATTGCTGCTCCTGTTGCTCACAAGAGCCTGTCTACCAGGCGTGCTTAGCCCCGAGATGTGACTCAGTGCCAGCACCCACAGTTTCACCCTGAAGCAAGCTATGATCAATGGTGTATGCAGTGATCAGAACCCCATTTAAGCAAACTATTGTTTATTTAGTACTAAGAACAAAGCATTCAGAGACAAAAGGATTTCAGAACAAGTACACTTAAAAATCTTTCTGTCCCCCAAGGCTACTGTGCAAAGTAGGCCTCTCATCTCTAGGAACTTGATCTTCCTCCAGCCAATATTCCTCACAGCAGTCAGTCTCCTAAGAGAGTGTTTACTTTGAGCCATATCCTTAGTCTCTTATCCTTAGCATTCAGCATAAAGCATTTCCAACTGACTACCAACAAATCATCCACCAAATTGTCACCCAACACCAAGTTCTAGATAATGGATCCTACACTAAGCAGAGCAAGGGGGAAGACCATGCTGAGACATCTTCCTTGCAAACTGAGGTTCAAAATTATCTCAGCCAAGTGATTCCCTTTGCCTAGAGGCACAGGACACAGGTTTCTTCTGGGCACTGACTATCTATTTTTCCAGGCTATTCATCCTGTTCACACCACAGCTTTCCTTATAACACAAAGAAAATACAGCTACTCACTGAACCGAGCTTCTTCACAAATAGCTCTTTCAAACTCTGCAGCAGTCCACCGGGGAGGCCTTCATGGTAAGGCAGGTGGTCTCGCAAAGCCTCAGAGGAAACTTTTAACTATCAAGGAATTTGGCCACAGGATCAATAACACGTGGAAGAGGGAAACTTGGAGAGATCAGGGGCATGTAATGAAGAAGGAAAAGAGATTGGTGACAGGAGCAGAGAGCTCCCACCTAGGGCTAGGCTGCAACATTTTGGCATAGCTTTTGCTTGCTAACTGTACCAACCCTGCAGTACCTCTGTGCAGCACAAGCAGGCTGTGAAGCTTCTTTCCTTCTGTTCCCACCAAACTTTGTGGCCTTTTTGATAACCTTGGTTTCTCTCCAACATCTCCTTGACACTACTACTCTTGGATGTTTTGTTTCCCCATCACACCTGAGACCCCGAATTCTCCGCATCATTCATGCCCTTTGTATCAGGCCCTCAACAGGCACTACCTGCTTAAGCAGAGAAGAAATGAGGAGGAAAGTAAGAGACGTATAGAAAATCACAACGAACTAACAGGATTTTTATTGTGCAAATAAGGGGAGTGTACAGTCAACAGAGTGCATAAAGTTGTGATACTATGGCAAATAGAGGAGAACAGATATATTTTTTCCTAATTTCAGTGTAACCTGGATTTATTGTGGAACAAAATGTCTCCCTAGCATTGTCAGCTAAAGGTAATAACATTTGTAGAGTCATGAAGTGTCATGCAGATTGCATGACGGAGTTGCATAAGATAACTTTCATGGAGTCAGCTTTTCCTGAGATGTAATACATATATGTCAGATTAATTTTAGCTAGATGAAAGGTAGATTTTTAAGAGCTCCTGCCTCCTGTGATGGTAAATGTTAACACTTAGTATACAGATCATTAATAAGATATAATTATGT